TAATGAATAGGATGAAATACTGGTATAAGCAGTGTAATAGTTGTGGTGAACTACAAGAAATTGGAGCAAGGATGGGATGACCAAATTGAATTCAAATCTAGACCTAAGAGGACGGTAATAGGATAGGCTCAACAAGATGTCTCTGCCTCTCTGGCTATGACTGCCAATTAAAGTGTAGCACCGTGACGTCTGATTATTCCTTGACAACCTATAGGGTATTAACCATAAACCATTAAGAGAAAAACTTGTTTCACTTTCCTGTGCCATGTAAAAAGAAGGTCTCTTTAACATTTATGGGAGGAAAACATTGGTACAGATTACAAAGCAAATACATTTAACAGAATAACGTTGCATGCGAAAATCTTTTCAAACCGGACGATTTCAAAGGGAATCTGGAATTGGGTTATACGAGGAGATACTTGAATTACACCAAGCACAAAAATACCAAACACGGTTTTCCCCCTCATACCCTAAACAAATATTAAACCAGGCTTGATACCTGTGAACGTACTGCAGTCGGAATCGACATCGAAGACTTTACTGTTGTTATCTGTTGTTTACTGTCTAATTACGTTTCGACTCTAACGGACTCGTTAATTTATTTTCAGAGTATTCAGGATCGAATGTGCAGGGCTTTAACCTGAATTGCAGAAAACTTGCGGTTTCCGTGTCTAGAAACCCGTGTTTCCCCCAAAAAACTGTAACACACTAAGCAAACACATTAAACCACGGTAACTAAAAAAGCCGGTTAGGAAACGACCACGTTTTTATCATTGGATGCGTGTCGCGGGTAAACATTTAAAACAAAAAACGTACTAATTTGTGATAAAGATCGGCTAATCATTAACATAAAATGTAGACAGAAAATCACGCAAATATGACGTCATTTTCTCTTTGAATTCATTGCAATCTGCACGACATTTTAAGTATCAACTGCACGTCTATTCTATCCGCTCTGCTAATTTTGACATTTTTATATGTAAAAACGCAAAACAACTTTTTTGACAATGGAGATATCGATTGGGACGATATTTTGGAGGTCACCGATGATCAAGGCGACGTAATCTGCGATAAGAATGTAGACAGAACCTCGTCGTCTGCAAAGCCCCGTACAAGGCCGTAGCTAGCGGGGGGGCAGGGGGAAGCTGCCCCCCTTGAGTTTGGGAGTTTTTTTTAAACCTTAAAATAAAAAAGTTTCGAGCAACCACGTATTTAGTTTGTACACGATTTGAAATAAAACATGGTAAGCGAGTTGCGTGTACTTTATTTATATTTATTACTGAGCACGTTGGCACTTTGACGCGTACAGGTAAGACGCATGCACCCAGCACAGCGGGTCAAACGTTACCGTCAAGTATTTCATATCGACATGTCAGCTCCGAAGAAACGTTGCACACAACTGTCAATGTTGAATTTTTTTTACATCATTCCTCACCCAGATGTGATTTATTCGAGGAAAGCTAACTGGAGATAAATGTATATGCTATTGCCAAAGTTGTAAACATAAACTGTGTATTGTACAACTATTAATTGTATTAATCAGTCCTTCACATTAATGTAAAACAGTTGCTTATATATGAAGATAGAACAAAAGTGTTTCAGGTTTTAAAGTTCATACTGTAATATCCCTTGTTTTGTATATATTCATAAACTATATCAAGATGATTTTATTGTGTACAAGTCATTGTTAATGACACAGTCCCCGTCCAAAATTGTTATCAATTTTATGTTGATGAAGTCATTGAGATTAGATTGAAACCATTAATAGGAGATATATTTGTAAAAAGTTATGATTTAGTGCTTTTACACGAGAATTTGACATTGGGCAGTCATATTGAATCAAATTACATAAATAATGTTTGTGTTGATGTATCTATTGGTATACTGTCTTTGTACAACATTTAAACAGAAATGTTCATTGCATTGCATTCATGGGACAGTAGGCATGAAAAACAAAATGGCCACTCAGTCAGCCATATTAGTTTAAATCACATAAAAAATATGACATGCAACTATAACCCAATATGTATGATCATCTTATCAACTTTGATACAAATCGGCCCAGTCATCTCTGAGAAACAGCTCCGGACATGTAAAAATGACGATTTAGCGCTTGTACATGAACATTGGGCGTCGGCCAGCCATATTGAATTGAATCACAAAAATTATGTTGGTGCAGATGTATCTCTTGGTATACTGTCTTTGTACAAAATTTAAACAGAAACGTTCATTGCATTCACGATAAAGT